TGAGTGGCCTTGCCACATGGCCATGGACGTCAGCTTTCTAGCCACAAACATCAGGTGGTCTCTATGCTTTCAGAACATCCTATTGAACATTCCTCGTCCATTCATTCTTTCACCTCCCACAAAAATATTTGACACTTTCTTCTACCTCCTCAACCCCCAACCATTCAGCTGCATCTTTGTTATCAGGTGATGATTTATTTTCCGGTTTCATAGAGGAAATCAAAGACAAAGGAAAACACTCCCAGAAGCTCCATGGTAATAGTTGCTTGCCTAGCGGCTTCGGTTCTATACAATCCTTCCTGCTATGACATATCGTCCCTCCTGCCACTATTAACAAACTACGGCTGATGGAGACCTCTGCTTCACTAGTCTCATCCCTTCTTGCACACACAAGTCGTGGCTTCAGTAATTCCTTCTGTCTCCCACTCATCAGTTTTGTTTTTCCCCCTCTCTGCTAAATCTTCTCTATTAGCATGTATCCATTTTTTTCATGTTTATGCTCAATGGAGAGAGACACAGATAGAAACAGAGAGAGGGACAGTGAGAAATCACCCTAGGGGGACGGCCATGGCATAGTCCCTGCTCCTCCATTCTCCTCTTAGGACTCTGGGCATGCACATACATGTGCCTGGCATGATTCACAAACCACCAGGTCCAGGGCTTGAACTGTGGTTGGCCACATGGAGTCCAGCACCTTAGCCGCTATGCCATGTAATCATTGGCTTCCATATAAACATTTAGTTGAAGCCATGTTACCAAGTTCTCTCCAACGAACATGGACAGAGTAATAAATACTGCTTCTGAGACGAAGTGCTAGACACTGGATACTCATTCTTCCTTGAACTTTCCCTTTTCTTTTTTTTTCTTTTCTTGTTTTTTTGGAGAGGTTTTTTTGCTGTAGGGTGCGTGTGCTCACAAGAAAAACAGAGACAGAGAGACAGAAAGTGAGAAAGCACCCCCTAGGGGAGATGGCCACACCGCAACCCCTTCTTCTCCATTCTCCTCTCAGGATCTTGGGCACGCACGCACATGCACCCAGTGTGAGTTTAAGTCACCAGGTCCAGGACTCCAACTGTGGTCAACTACGTGGGAGTCCA